CATTGGGCCTAAGCGCTCTTATCTCTTCTGTTTCTTTCTTTTATTGAACACCTTACACCTCTTTTCTTACCGTGTAGTTGCACGTTAGATATTAGTCAGTTTTTTGAATTATTTAAGAAATAGTAAAATTAAAATTAATGATGTTACGTTTTATACTACTAGGAAACAACTGCACGTGCATTTACGTTTGGGAATTTTTTAATTGATTTTTAGTTAAATTGGGATTAAATAGTGAGGACTAATTAAATAGTAAGTCATGTTTAGTAGCTTATATTGTATTGTATAAGGTGTATTGTATTGTGTTTTATTATCATAATACAATGCAATATTTTGTGTCATATTGTATTATATAAGAGGTCAACATATAAATTTTAAATAATTTTGGGGTCAAATGTAATTTTTAAAAAGTTTTTGGGGTCGCAGTATAATTTTTCAAAAGTTTTAGTATCAAAATGAAATTTTATAAAATTTTTAGTGTCAAAGTGTAATTTTGAAAAGTTTTGGGATCAAAATGTAATTTTGTAAAAATTTTGAGGCCAAAATATAATTTTTTAAAAAAAATAATAAATTTGCATTGTGCCTCTCAAATTTTTGACAATTATAGGCTCTCCCTATGTCGGCCCAACTCCGACCCCTAGTCGTGCCCTAACTCGACATGAATCACTTATCAATTATAAAAAATGTAATACAATACGCTAAAATTTAATAATACGACATATATCATATTAATTAATTATCCGTATTAATTTATACAATATGATAATCGTACTAAACATTATTATTATATAATACAATATTCTAATACGGTCAAAACTTTAAAATAAAAATATATGACTGCTTCTTACAACAGTTGAAGCCTAAATATATGCATTTAATTATATAGTATGAATGATACCGTGGTAGACAATTATTTTATTTACCCTGCTATTCCTTTGTAGAGCAAAACAAAAATAATTTGTCAATTAACAAATTATTAAAATCAAATTTATGAGATGACGCAATAATTTGAGAAAACCTTGGAAGAAAAACCACGAAAACCCCATATTATTAGTTTAATTCAATAATCATTATTCTTAAATTTTTATGCATAGGAAAGTGTATCGTATATACATTAGTTAATAGCAATGTATGTCATTAACACTCAAAAAGCAAGACTTTTCTTTAGTTTGGGCTTTTATGTTGTGCGGATAAGATTGTTCCCCGTATTTTTGATGAATTTATGGCCCGTTCTTTTATTTTTTTTGAGTTAGGTAATTTGAGTGTAGATTTTGAGTTATAATTTGAGTTGAAATTGTAATTTGAGTTTGTATTTAATTGTGTACATTTGAGTTATGGTTTGAGATATGAATCTTTTTGAGTTTATGTTTGAGTGTGTCAAAACTTAAATTCGTATTTAGATAGTATTTTAATAAAAACTTAATGCTGATGAAAAATTTTAATAGGGTATATGGGTGGAGTTTTATTCGTCTTTTCGTTGTCAACGCATAGAAAAAAAATCATCTCAATCAGAATTAAAACGAAAAAGTTATAACATTTTTAAGAATAAAAAAAATATTGTTCATTAATTTGAGTTCGAGTTTCTAAACTCGAGTTGAAGGGAAAATTTGAACTCAAATTTTAATCTTAAACTTAAGTTTAAATTAAAAAAAATATGAACTTAAATAAAATTATAACTCAAATTACTTTTTTTAAGTTTTTAATTAAAAAATGAGGTTACCGAATAATCCCATAATATTCTGTGTGGAGTGGCCGGAGTCGCTAGCAACTATTCAACAATGGCTATCATAGTTAAAAGAATAATATTTATTTTGATGTTTTAAAAGAATTGTGGGTCCTAGCAGCTTTTTTAACTATTTAATTAATGTTTTAAAATATTAAGGGGTCCCACTAAAAACCCAAATTACACGTTGACTGAGGAGTTCAGAAATGAACGAGGCCTTAATTCGTTAATTTAAATTTTTAATTTGAGTTAAGATGTGATTTTATATAAATTTTTTTATTATAGTAACAAATTAAATATAATTATTTTTAAAAGTTTTTTGACTGTAATAAAACTTAAATTCTAAACTCGAATGAGCGAAATAAATAGAGCCTTAGGGATTGTTCTTTTAGAATTTAACTTGAGTATAATTCTTAATTTGAATTTGAGTTATAATTTGAATTGAAGTTATAACTTGAGTTTGTGTTTAGTTGTGTACATTTGAATTATGGTTTGAGATAAGAATCTTTTTGAGTTTGTGTTTGAGTGAGTCAAAACTTAAATTTGTATTTAGATAGTATTTTAATAAAAACTCAATACTGATGGAAAATTTTAATAGGATATATGGGTGGTTTTATTAGTCTTTTCGTTGTCAACACATAGAAAAAAAATCATCTCAATAAGAATTAAAACGAAAAAGTTATAGTATTTTTAAGAATAGAAAAAACACTGTTCATTAATTTTAGTTCGAGTTTTCGAACTCGAGTTAAAGGGAAAACTTGAACTCGAGTTATAGTCCCAAACTGAGGGGACGTTTGGTTCATAGATTCAGAATCATGATTCAGACTCATTCTCATTTTACGTGTGTTTTTTGTGAGAGAAAATACTGTAACGAACTACGAATCATGATTTGAATCGTGACACAAATTCTCCTTCTAAACGTCCCCTCAAATTTAAACTCAAGTTCAAATTTAAAAGAACATAAATTCAAATAAAATTATAATTTAAATTACATTTTTTTAAAATTTTTCACCTAAAAAAAAAGCCCTTAATTATCTCTACGGCTATTCCTCCACTTAAAATTTTGACACCTTAATAAAAATTTACAGATCAACTCTCCTTAAAACCTTCCTAAACGGCGTTAACGAAACGGAAACAAAAAGAGTGTTTCCATTAACTTTTGGTAGACAACTGTCCCATTTAGCTATTAACGTCATTTCTCTGATGATGGGTTCGCCTTTTTTTTTTAACTTCGATGAAATTTTTTTTTTTTAAAATAAAATGAAGGAATTCAAAAAAAAAAAAAAATTTTCAAGTCTTCTTTCTTGCTCACAACCTCTTCAAGATCAAAAGTCCAACTCCAAAGTTCAATCTCCGCACCAGTTCTTCTTCCATTTCATCCAAAAGTTGGACCTCAAACATCCTCGATTTGTCGTCAGCCAAAACGATTAAAAGGAGGCTTCGAAACTTTGTGGGTCCAACCGATTTTCTCTCGCTTATTGAGGAATCTCGAACAAACTCGGTTTCTATGGAGACTATGGAACCTATTTCAAAAATGATGTCTTCGTGGGTTATTGAACTCTGTTTCGGCTGAAAGAGCTTTTCCTAGATAAAATTTAAGCATGAATATATGTGGCTCAATTGACAAGAGAACATGAATCAAAGTTTGGTGGAAGAGTTTCTGTTCAGTATTTTTCTTTGTTCTTTTTTTAATGGTGGGTGAGAACTTTCTGTAACTGGTTACTGTTAATATGCGTAAAATTTTCTTAAGGTGTCAAAACTTTAGTGGAGGGACAGCTTAGGGGACAACCAAACGAGATAGCAGATCTCAACTTGTAAACTGAGAGGGGGAGAATCAAATTGTGGGTCCCATCACTTTTTTCAACCAATATTTATCTCGTTCACTTCACTGATTCGAGTTTAAAATTTGAGTTTTTTTACAGTAAAAAGCTCTCACAAACAATCACATCTAATTTTTTTACTACAGTAAAAAACTTTCACATAAAATCACATCTCAACTCAAATTCTAAACTCGAATTAATAAAGTGAACGAGACTTTTGATTGTGAATGGGTCCCACCACTTTTTTTATAATTAGCTAATGTCAAAATAAGGGAAGTAAAACAAATGGAAAAATAAATGCATAATAACTATATAAAAAAAAGGGCATAAATGGAACAAAAAGATTTAATCATCTGTTTAGTTTGTTGATTTTAATTTTTAATTTGAATTTAGATGTGATTTTATATGAGAATTTTTTAGTGTAATAAAAAAATTAAATATAACTATTTTTAAAATTTTTTTACTGCAATAAAACTCAAATCAATAAAATGAAAAGAGATTAAAACACGCAAAGCCCATAAAAAAATAAATGAGTAGTAACTAAAAAAACAAAAGGCCATAATTGGAATAAAAAATTTAAAAAACTTTCTTAAGAAGAGTTAAGAGATTAGTATATATATTAATAGATAATATTATTTGATAAATATTTTAATGACATAATTTTTTTATTCTTTGTAAAATATTTTAAAATTTTTGTTATATTTCAATATTCTAAATTTTTTACTTTTATGTTACATTTTCCAGAGAAGATTCGGTAGCAATAAGGCTTTTAGACATACAACAAAATTTTGCTAATCATATTGTTTGCAATAAAAAAAATTTAAATACGTTGTAAATACAAAAAATTAACATCATTGCGATAATTTTTACATACTCTTGTAGCATAAAATGTGAATATAATTAAAATAACTACCATGTAATTTTGTAACATTAATGAAATAAAAATGCATTTTTTTCTCCTCCTCTTAAGATGTGCTCAAGTTCGATACTTTATAATTCCATTAATGATCATGCTATTTTAATAAATAAACAAAAATATTATATAAGTTTGTTATTCTTAAAATATTTTTTTCCTTAAATATTAAGGTCCTTAATTTCTATAAATTCCGTCAAATATTTAATAGCTAACTAATATAAGAATTGAAATTAAAATAAAATAAAATAAAATTTTAAAGATTAATTGAGAGACATTTTAAAAGTCACCGACTAAAATAAGATCGGAAGTAAATCACAGAAATAATCTGTGAGATTAACTCTAAATATTATTATATTTCAACTCCACTCTTGTAAATTTGCCATGCAGTGTAATTTTTTACATGGATGATTCAAACGTGAACATTGGTGAAGTAAAGCAGATCCACACTAGAGCCCAAAGATAAAGTGATGAAGAAGCCCAGCCCAATCAGGGTTTTAGTTTCTGAGTTCGGACAACCGAGTCTCCCTCCTTCCTTCGTCCGTGACGGAGTACTCCTCAGCAGAATTAGGGCATCGCCAGGTGCTAACACTCAGAACGTTAAATCGCCACTGAACGATTCTCACAACTCAACCTTTCCGAGTCACCATGGGTAAGCAATCAACGAGCTTTCTTAAGTTACTCCCTTTTTCAACTTCCAAACTCAGTTTCTTTCTTCATTTTGTGTGGGATTATGGACTTAATACTGTTTTCTGGTTTTTGTTTTCCTGTTGTTCATCAATCGAGAAAGAAAATGCTTTTCCGGTAATGTTAGTGAATTCGTGTTGTTCAAGTGCTTATTTTGCGGGAAATGGCTTCGTTTTTGGTGATATTATTAGGGTCTCGAAAGTCTGCTATGGAGTTATGGAGAAAGAAGGAAACGGATTTTTTGAGGATTTTGCCGAGGCGCAGATGGTGGGAGTGCCGTGCTTTCCACTCGCCTAAAAGTAATCCAGATCAGGTAAAATATTTTGCTCATTTTGCTTATCACTAAAAAGTTTTTTTTTTTTTTTTTTTTCTCTATATGCTAGCATTTTTGATCGTTTTAATTTGCTTGAAGAGTACTTATTTGATATACGAAATTTTGTGTTGGAGGAAAATTTGATTTGTTATTTAATAATATTGCAGTTTGTGGCAGTGTTAAGACCAGGCTCTACAAAACATTCTAGTGTAAATACAAATAATGTTGCTAAGGTAGATGTGTTGTTGGTTGCTACTTTTATTGTAAGGCTTATAAGCAGGATATATATATATATATATAACTTCATGCTTAATAACTAGTTTGATTTTGTTCTCCTTGTGCAAGAAACTGGGTTTTGGGTTCAATAAGGTGTTTGCACTTTGATTTTTTGGTGTCGTAACTAAATAATGGATGGACGGAAGAAGTTTTTAGGGGTTTGAGAGCACTCAATTTGACTGCTCATTGTTCAAGGTCTAAAGTCCATATTGTCATTTTTTTCTATTGCTGATAGATGCCCTCACTTCCTAGAAACAAAGATGAAGAGGGACAATAATTTTGCTCTTCTACTAATATGTTGTTATTCTTGTGAATATTGTTTGGCAGAAATTTCTCTTCTACATAGAAGGCAGTATTGTAGAGAGTGTATAATTCGTTCTTGGTCACCTTCACAAGTCATGAAAAACTATGGAACGAACCCCATGAATCCTTGCATCATTAGATCTATTTCATCACAAGCTTCAAAGGAACCAGGAAAATCTCCTAATGAGGTTTGCTTCCAAACTGAATTTTGTGCACTTGCGTCTATGTCTTCTTTAAACTTTGGTCATTGTTCCTAACCTTGGCGAAAAACTTTCTGAAGTGATTCATTCAGTTTTGATACTTGTTCCAAATATTCACATGTTGCAAGGATTCTGAAGAAATTTGTGGATAATAAAGAGCCCATTTGGTAAACTGGTTCAAGTGTTTTGAACCAAATTTTTTTTTCAAACCAGTGTTTGGCAAATCTTTTTAAGTCTTGGTTCAAACCGTTGATTTGATGTTTTGACCTAAAAAAACCAAAGAGATCTGAGTTTAAATCTCCCCCTTGTTTTCAAGTGGTTTGAACCATTTTTTTCGAACTTTCTATTTCAAACCAAACAAATTCAAACCACGTACATTTTGAACCTATTTATCAAACATGCGAAAAGTTGATGGTTTCTAACCCGTAGTTAACTGAGATTAAATTCTTCTAAGTTTGTTGGGTTCAGGTGTTAATCCTAAGGATGAAATTAGACGTGAGCAGTTCCATTAAGAGTCCAGTTCTTTCTTAACTGGAAAATCCCACCTCCCTTTACTTTTGAAAAACAAAGAGGTTTCACATGATAAAGTGTTTTTTTCCCTCTAAGTATATGAAGAACTGTAATTGGGCTAACATTAAGCTGCCTTAGAATAAATGTCTAGTGTCTACGTTTTTCATTCCCTATGATTATGAGATTTGATCCCCTCTCGATTGTCGCTTGCTCTGGTCAATTTATGTTGTATAAGGTACCCTCATTTGTTCTACTCTCCCATTGACAGAATAAAAAAGACATATCTAAGGTGGAGGATCCCTTTGACGCTCCCACATATAATATTCCAGAGACGCCAGTAACGTTTACCGAGGGGGCTTCCTACAGTCTTATCATTCTTGCAGGGCTTGGTATTGCTGCAGCGGCAGGATATGCTGTTTTCAAGGAGCTTATATTTGAACCGAAAGAGTAAAGTGTCCTATTTTGTAGCTAAAATCATCTTATCTGGTGGCTGGTCGTTGTTGTTGTAGTTGTACTTTTGCATTTGGCGTCACCCTGACGTGGAAATTTCTTTGTTATAGGTATACGGTCTTTAACAAGGCTCTTAAGAGAATCCAAGACGATGCTGAGGTTAGTAAATTGATGTATCAATTGCTTTTTAACATAAATTTTTTAGTTCTTTTAGTACTTAGAGAAACTTCTTTTCCCATAAATTTGTAAAACTGCCTTGGTATACTATTTGGAGGAAGCAGCCCCTCCCTGGCCATGGAATGAAAAGGGCAAAAAGTTCGAACTTAAATAAGATAAAAACGCACGTCTTTTTCCTACATGCTTAAAGCCTGGACTGACAAATGCCTCCGATGTCTGAGGTCCGGGAGTAAAAATAATTTTTCCAATCCATGTTCTCGTGTATTTACTAACATTTGCAATGGCAATTTGTTGCTGGCCTTATCCTTTGGCATCAGGTTAGAGTGAGAATTGGATACCCTATCACAGGATATGGTCAAGAAAGTAGAAATCGTGCGGCTCGCCAACGCATTCCCAACAGGACATGGACTGATGAAGATGGTGTAGAGCATGTAGAGGTAAAGACAACTAAAACTGTGTTTTTTAAGAAATAAATAAGAATAAGAATGAAAGAAAAACTGTCTATTATTTTAAGCAGTTAAGCTATTAGCATATCAAATTAGAAGCAACATTGTATCTTAAGTGGAAGGTTTATTTGTGTCTCGCGGTTGTCATTTGAGTTATAGGTGAACTTCTATATTCGTGGGCCTCATGGAGCTGGGAAAGTGTTCTCAGAGATGTACAAAGACCAAGCTGACAAGCAATGGAAATTCACATACTTGATTGTTGAGATCAAATCACCTTCCCCAGCACAATTGATTTTGGAGTCATATTTGCCAGCCTACGCTCCGGCATGAGTTGCCAGCAAACAAACCCATAACAGTGATTCTTCCCGCAAAATTAACTTGGCGTAGGAACATAGTCCTGTTAATAATTGATTTTTTTTTTTTTGTCCCCGAGGTTGAGATATAAATTGTTTGTTTTTCTTCTCAATTTTGAGGCTCAAATTTTCAAGTCTGAAGTTTTGATCTCCTGCAGTAGAAGCTATAATAACGAGAAATATTGAGAGTTTTGATTTCATAAACTTGATTTGAAACCAGTGTCTTTTAGTTTGCATGATGAATAGATAACCCAATTTGATTTTGTGCCCCTTTCGGTTACGGTACTCATTATGTGATGGGTTCTGCCGGTCTCTTTTTAGAGAGAAATTACAGATTCTACCTTCTTGATGAGTACCTGATTTGTTGAAAGTATATTTTTTCTTTTTTAAACTCTACCTCTTAACTAGTTTTATTCTAAAAGGTAAAAATATGTGGGCTAAAGGCAGTTTTATTTTAAGGTGTATTTTTAAAAATTGTCCTTTTTTATATGTTCGAGTATGTCGTAGTTCTCTTTCTGAGGATAGAGTTTGTCGTAGTTGGGAAGATATTGAATAAGGAGTATCATGTTTTTCATTTTGGTTGAAAAAAAAAAAAAAGAATGTCATTAGTAGCATAAGATTTCGACTTCTGTAATTCGGTTACAACTAAGGATCACAAAAGACCACCTTGTTTCTCATTTTTATGATTTCAGTACTAGGAGAAATTTTATTTCCATCACTCCTACGGTACATTGGAGTTTTCCTCAAATCTAAGCGCCATAAATCCCGATTTAACAGATGTTTATGTTTCCTTAATGGGGTCTTGTTATGGGCTTTTGTGCCTCCATGCCAGTAAAAACGTCATTATGTGATCAACCCAGCCACCAAAGAGAGCAAGGAAATAGCTGAGCCTATTTGGCGACTATCTTGTGTGTAATAGGATTGATCAATTTATTAGAGCATTTTTAACGTAATACTATAATTAATGTGTCAATTGTAAATTTAATATTTGAATGTAAAAAATACTCTTTAATATAATGTTATTTGTTGTGTTAAATTTTTCATGTGTTATGTTTTGTGGTAAATTTTTCACTAAATACAGCATATGAGAAATTTAACATTTAATTGCTATCAATTAAAATGTTTACTTTTTCATATAATCATTGTAACTTTTGTATTTTTTAATTATTTTAAAAATAAAAATTTACTTTTATAACTTTTAAAGCTTAATGATTATGAAAAAAATAGATTTAGCATTTTAAATGATATTACGCATTAAAATATAAGTAAGGGCACCATAATTATTTCAACTTCTATGCAAAAGAACAAACACTGGGTTTCAGTTGCATCGCTTTGCCTTCAGCTCTTAAGTTAAATTGAACCGGTTGATTTGTTCCTGTCGAGGGTGGGTGACGCAAGCAAGTTTATTGTATTTCCTTAATCGGCTCTCCAACTTTAGGCAAACAGAGAAATAGTAGTTCGTTATTTTTGAGATGTGCAAGCCTGTCAATTGAACCTACTTAACGTTGCCATGAGAAAATATTAGGGCCGGCAATATGGGTAACGACTCGAAAACGATACGAATTTTGTGAGTTAGGGTTGAGAAAAAAGAGGTTCGGGTTAAAATTGAGTCGACCTAAAATTGACATGAAAAATACAGGTCAATTTCAGGTTGGACCCGCCTAACCCGAACACGACACGAAACTCGTAAAAAACTAAAAAATACATATATTTTTCATTACATATTTTAAATTTTATTATGAACTTGTGATATCATTATAGTTATACTCAAAATCTTATACTATTATTTACTTAATTTCAATGGATGTTATTGTAATTTAGTGTGTTATGAATTTTAAGTTATTTCTAATATGTAAAAAATTAAATAAAAGTAGACAATTTTCTTGTCAATTTCGGATTCACGGGTCAATTTCGTGTCACGGGTCATTTTCAGGTCATATCGTGTCAACTCGTAAAGTGGTCGTGTCGTGTTCGTGTTGCGGTTTTTTAAAAAATTTCGTGTTACAGGTCATGTTTGAGTTGACTGTAAATTTTTAAAAAATAATCAAAACACGACACGAAGACGATACGTGACACGAATTGCCACCCCTAGAAAATACCATAGCCTCTTAAGCTCTTGATACTTGGCCAAATATCCATCATAATGGAAACCCATCTGATGAAATCAGTAGTAAGCTAAAAAAATTAAGAGAATTAAAAATTTGAAGACGGTAATATTACAAAAGAATTACTAACAATTGCTGATCTTAATACAAAATTTCTCCAGTGAAGGGGATGCCTTAATTAGTAAATAAGGCCAAAGTAAGAAATCATTTTTGGTGTGCTATTATTAAAATTTCACAGTCGCAGAGGGAGGTTTTTACTATTTTATTTTTTATATATAGTTTGAAATTTTTTTATATATGTCTCCCCTTTATTATTTAAATATGTTCTATTTATCTACACGTATAATATTCATCCGAAAGTGTATTTTGATTGAAAGGCGCATTTCAATCCATTTTACTTAAATATACTATTTTTACTAAACTAAGCTCTTAAGAGAGTAATAAAATTCAAACAAACAAAAAATTAAGCTTTTCAAAATTTTAAATTAACGTGTCAAAAAGTTCAATAAACTGGTAGATATACACGTACGTAACATGCTTCCAAGTAGTTAATAGTATGTTAAAGGAAAAAAAAAAATAGTATTAGAGTTAATTTTGTTAACGTTTTTAATATATTTTAACATTTTTAGTTTGTGTCCCTCTGGAAACAAAATTCTAGCTCCGCCATTGAGCGATGCTCCTATAATTTTTTGCCTATATATAGGAGCATCCAACATCATCTGTCCTAATACCCGTTCAATCTCTGGGTTCTTATCTTCCTTGGCTTGTCCCTCATCTTTTGGAAGTTAAAGAAGCAACAAATAGTTTTACGCTCCTCTGCAGAAGCTGAGTATCGCTCTATGGCAAATATTAGTTGCGAAATTGTTTGGCTTTTTTCTCTCCTCAAAGACTTAGGAGTCCAGCTCTAGTATTCTGTGACAATCAGGTAGCACTTCACATAGCTGCCAATCCAATCTACCATGAGCGCACCAAGCACATTGAGATCGATTGTCATATGATTCAAGAGAAAATACAAGCTTAGATTCTTGAAAAATTTACATGTCAACACCAACAATCAGCTTGCAAACATATTTACCAAAGCTCTCCACCCTACACAATTTCATAATCTCTTAGGCAAGATGGGAGTTCAGAATCTTTACTCTCCATCTTGAGGGGGTGCAGTGCCTATACTACATGGGCTCAACCCAAGTACTGTTAAGTACAAACGGTGGGGCAATTTAGTGGTATGGCAACCGAGAATCCACATTTGCATCTTAGGTTATTCATAAAAAAGGAAATAAAATAAACAAGAATACCACCCCGTAATTCGCACTTCCAGTTGTGTCATTGTGGCGTACATATTTACGCAAGAATCTACCATTGAAAACTATTAAAAGCCAATCCTTTCAAATAAAAGAAAACTTAAATTCATCCACAACTTGTCTTCAAAAACCGATTCACTTAATATCAACTATGAGAAACCGTGACCTTCAAAAGCAGAATATTACAACAAATCCTATACATAGACAGGAAGCTCAGTCGTCTAATCAAACAGTTCTATCCTAGACGTTAATATTACAAACACATCCCATCCAACAAAAGATATTACATCACATCCCATCCCGACAAAAATTTTAATATCAAGAAAATGCTAGTTTTACATATCAGTCTATTGGTGTTTCCTTCATCAAAACAAGTTGCGAGCGCAAGTTTTAACAAACTAATTGGTTCTAGCCACAGGGATGATGCCAAAGCGCGTATAGGTTAGGGATCCTAACTTGATCCTTTATTTTTGCTTGGAATCAACTTTTAACTATGACTAGCAAAAGAATTTTACATTTGTTACAAATGCTCTTGCAATTTGTGTCCTGCAATGGACTCCAACAGCCAAGTGTGACCAATAACTTTGGATCCAGTTTGGAAAGCTATATCCTCTGCCTCACTTAACCTTTGAAACAGGATTGCTACTTCTTCCCCTAGTCTGCACCCTTCTGGCGGGTCATCATTGTATACGGCTAATGCCCGTGGAGTAGGAGCTGCCCCTTCACCACTTTGGGCAACCAATTCTTCCTTGCTTTTCAAGACGGTCCCTCCGGCAGCTATCACCAAATCTTGGAGGTCTTCCTTGTGAGATGCCAGGAAGTCACCCGCAAAATAGAAATTCAAGCCACTAAAGAGCTTAGGTGCCTACAAAGAAAATTTTAAATTCAGTCACTTAACTAGACAGGAAACAGCTTTTAAAAAATTGCTGTCATGAAAATAAAAGGAGAGAGAGAAAAGCTAGAGTTTCTATAAAATTGCATGTGAAACAAAAAAAACAAAAGTCCTTGAGCATATAACAATTATGCAAACAACTTGTCTACCCTCCCAGGCTAATGAAACAAATGACCATATCAGATTAAATTGTCAATGTCAAGAATATACGACTGATGAATCGTTTTCTAGTTGAAGTTATCCCATTCAAAGTAAGTTGTGCTAAATAAAGGCGGTTACAAAGATTATAGCTTCAAAAATTAGACACCACAACCATTTCATATTGAATTATTTGGGCTCATAAAAAGAGTGTACATTTTTTGATGCTCTGCCCCTGCCAGACAATGGACCATTACGGCAGCCATAGTTGTCGAGACTGACTTCATAAGGTTCTTCATTCACATGACACTTTGCCCCCATGCATGCTTTTATCCCTGCAAAGCCCATGTTTTAGTTGTGTCATAGATTAGAGTGTTCATTTTAGTTCTTTCAATAGCAGTGTATAAACCAACTTCAGTCGGAGTAAATAGAAGAGGAACTGGAAGTGCTATAAAATATAGTATCTGTAATCCAAATATCAGTGTCTCGCACAACAAACAAAAGAAAGGGAAACGTATAAAGCAATTACAAAGATTAAAAAGAAAAGGTAACACGTACAGTCAACTTTAACAATCCATTTTCCAGTCAAAATCGCCATGAGAAATTTAAATGTTCGCGTGCAAGCACCCACATCATTCGTGGCCACAATCACATGTGTTACGTTTGGGTTCCAGAACTTTGACACAGTGGCACCATTTATTGTACCAAACTTGACCAAAAGAATCTGTTCCAACAAGATGCACAAAAATGAATTAAAAACACAATCAGCTCCACGGCCCGCAAAACAGGACCTATAAAATGCTCATACAAAACGTGACTTGGACTTTTGCAAAATTTTGGACCAGATAATAAGAAAGCTCTTTTACACATCTTTCTCCAATAATGATAGCAACTCAGCTAATACAATGTGGTAATCATCAAACTATACAAAATCTCTTTTCAAATGAGAACTTGTGTAGATGATAGACAAAGGAATTAACCTTCTCTTCAGCAGACAAAGCAGAACCACAAAAAAACAATTTTCTTTCTCCATCTGGTAAAGGTGCCGAATTGGATAGCGGACAACTCCTGGACGCAGATAGCAGAAATTTAATGAGATAATTGGAAGTAAAATTTGCTCCGTGCATTCAACAAATGACTCTTCTCTCATAAGAAAGGTTGAGACTGAGCAAGCATTTATGCAGTATTCCAACCCCTAGACCTAACTTTTATCATCTATGCCAAACCATACATAGCATTTTGCTACTAATGACTTGATCATCAAAAAGTATAATAGAAGAACTGAACCCTACACTATAGAAGGCATGTCACGAACTTTAGAGACATTGTCCCAAGACTTTGACTTTTCATTAGGGAATCTAACTGAAGAATGATCTGGACAGAGCATTAGATAGTCTTCCTGCAAGAAATCAAAAAATAAACCAACAGGTCCATTACCCAAATATTTGGAGCTAAATTGCATGCACTGAAACAGGACATGTTTAACAAATTTGGATACAAAAGCTTGGTGTCCGTACATAAGCCCAACGACATTTTGGGACTTTCATTGCACAAGGAGCGTGATAGCTTCTCCGACAGGATCTCACATAGCATCCTAAAGCTGCTCCTTTTTTCCCACATCCGGAACACTTGAGCTTTGCTCCCCTTGCTACTTCTTCCTTCAAATTCTTAACTCTATCATCAACGTAGTACACTCGTGGAGCCCTGGATTACCAAATTTTATATCAATTTAATAGAAAATTGTTCCCCTTTAACATGTCATAATACACATAGCATAATTTCACAGCATATAAACTATCTTAGCACATTAAAAATAAAAATAAAAAATTCATCCAGTTGCATCTCCAAATTTCTACATTTATAATTCACTGTAAACGCAATCAACAGTGGTCAAGTATACTAAGATCCAAAAATGGCATACCAGCCAACGCACACTTTGTGAGCATGTATGACATTTGGAAGCGTTGCCTCATAACCTACAACCGATTTCCCATTAGAAAAATGTAACATTGTCCCTGTATCCTGGTAGGAGTTCATTCAGGGGGCAAAAAATCAGGACAGAACACAAGTAACCAAGAATTGAAGCCTTTAGTGACGACATAGTAATTAGCAACTAAATTGAAATCACTCTTAGTAAAGAAGTTACCTCCGAGATTTCAGAGGAATAGCAAAATGCACAAATAGTTTCATTTGCAAACTGGCCATCCAAAACTTTAGGCCCCGCCACACTAGCTTGTGACGTTGTCGGAAGTTCGGGCTCTAAGTTAGTCATCAAAGCTCCAGAGTTGGAAACTGATTGAATGTGATCAGCACTGCCCAGGCCCAGCTGTGCTGGCCCATAGTTCAATTGCTTCTGTCTCTTTACTCCCCTAAAATTACCATCCTTCTCAAAGCCAAAACTGATCTTGCCTATTACAGAACCATTGTTCCCCCGGCTTGATCTTCTAAACAAAGAATTTTCTGACCTCTGAAACAAAAAATAAAATAAATATAAATAAATAAATAAACCAATTATAATCAACAACCTGATTCCCTGAATAAACAATATTTAGACCCCTTTAAATACAACAGAAGAAAGGAATTGCCTGGTGAAAACCATGTAAGCAATGGAGAAAATACTCCAATTAGAGAACAAAAGACATTAGCAAAGACTCAACCAGCCAAGAACTTAAAGTGAAAATTCATAGAATGCCAAGCCATCAACGGAAAGTTGCTTTTTAATCCAATTGGAGATGTCTACAGCAATTTTGATAACCTAAAGCAACAAAAACGCCTTGTTATAACCAAAGAAATGTGAATTCTTACATGCTCACTACATCGATAATTGCTATCATTATCTGAACCTCTGGCACGACCGAATGATCTACGAATATCTGGTGATGATTGGGGGACTGGATTTATATCCATGTCCACAGCCTTACACCCTTCAGTCCCTCCACCTCTCATATGAGATCTCGGTGATGATAAATTGGGATTCCCAGCACCACTAAATTCAATTCCTTTATCATTCCTCTTACATTCTCGGTTTTCAACTTTGCCATTCTCGTCAACCCCAACTTGTTTGCCAATATAATTCCCACTACGTGAATTATCCCCATGAGCGTTTTCACGTAATTCCTCACTCATTTTATCACCAAACCGGATAGTACTCGAGGCGGGGCTATGCATTGAAACCCTTTCAACCTCTGTAGAACAGATACATTAGATACCAAATTAGTATTACCCTACTAAGAAACAAAAGTTGAACACCAGAGGAAAAATATTCAAAATTTGACCTTTAAAAAAGATCGCAACCTGAATGAGCCGGCTGAAACAATTTAGCAGAAAAAGTGGCGTCCAAGCATTTATAAATTGTCAACATATTTTCCATGAAAGGCAAATTCCTCAGATCTGCCGCGAAAAACAATCACCAAGCATCAGAGAGAAACTCAACAGTAAAAATCCTATTTTTATCAAGCATCAATGACAAACCCAACAGCGATCCCATTTTTTCTTGAAATGAAGTTGCTTGAGGATTAACATGATAATACACATAACGCATTGATAAAAAAAAAAAAAAAAAAAAAAAAAGAGCCCAGGTATAATTTCCTCCTGGAAATAATTTTATTTTCCATCAAAAGAACTTAAAAAAATGAAAAATCCATTAAACAAAAACAGACTTCCCACGATTTCATCGGTAGAGACTATTTTGGTCCGAATGAAAACAACTAAAACGACCTAAAGTTTCGTACTACGACAGAAAAACCCACAAGGGTTAATTAAAATAAAATAACCTATATTTACAAAGTGTGCTTTACAGACAGGGCAATCTGCACCGAACTGATTGGCGCCAGGTATACAAGACCTACAATAAATCCAAAAACGCAAATTCATTAGAAATCAAGAATTAGAAGACAAAACAAATCAAAAAACAGAATACGAAAATCTCACCTGCAGAATACGTGATCGCACGGGAGTAGCGTCGGTCGATTGAACAAACTTAAGCTGAAATATAGACAAAAACAAAAACACCACAAAATTCTAGGTTAAGCATCTATTTATACTCTCTAAAATCCTTATTTTTTTCTCAGAAACCAAACGCAGATGAAAGATGAAATTAAATTTAAAAAAAAAAACCCCCAAAAATACGAACCAGAGAGGGCATTTGAACTCCAAGCCCAACTTCTGAAAATTAAGAACCCAGGGATTGCGGTTCTCGGAATCCGCCATTAATACCGGTTCAGTCGCGAGCTTTCTCTTTGCGAAGCTAGATTTTTGCTCCGGTGAAGAACTGTCAACTGCTTCTCAACTGTGTCTCTTCGAAAATGGCGGTAGTGATGGTAGCAATTGGGAAAAGCTGAGGACGGTCAAGTCATTTCAAATGACTTGTCTCAGCGCAATCAGACAAGTTTGCTTACACGTGGATGGCTGAGATTGCCTCGGAAGTAGAGCTGAGACACATGGCGGGTGTAGATAATTCTCTTTAACGAACGATGTCGCTTCATAGACGCGCGTGCTTTTCCTTTAAAGATGGGGAAATCCCGCCACCAAACCTTATTTATTGTCAGTTGAGAAAAAAAAAACACCGGGTTTATTATATTTGAACTACGATTTACGCGTTCTTCGTTTCACATATTTTAATTTTTAATTTAAATTTAAATGTGATATTTTTTAAAAATTATTAATTATAATAAAAAAATTAAGTGTAATATTTTTTAAAAAATTTAATTATAAAAATTTAAAATTTAAAATTTAAATCGATAAAATAAATGAAACATAATAAATTCTCTTATAATATTATTTATTTTATAAAAAATTTAAATTTAAAAATTTTCTCACTTATAAAATATTCATCAATAAATTAGAATTATTAATTTACATATATGCATGCTTCAAGCAGACCATATTTAATGTTATTTGCAGAGTATCTGACCAAACCATCAAATTTTAAAAATTTGACCGTTAAAAAATTTATAAATTTCCATAATAAAAGGTCAATTTATTTAGTCCTGATACATCATCGCGTTCAAATGATATAAAATTCGGGTCTATTTTTTACGACCTTACACAGAATCAAACCCAAAGCCAAAAAAACAAACACAGCATAATAATTTGGGAAAGTAATTTTATCCCGAGTCGTTTGGAATACGATCCTGTGAGTACTTGCCTTGCTTTCTTTCTTTCTTTCTTTTTTTTTTTTCCCCCTTTATGCTTTATGCTTCTTCTTCTTCTTCTGAAAAGAAATAAATCATACCTCATCTAAAGAAATAAATTCAAAATCAGAGCAATACCCAACATAATCTTTCTTTAGCTCATATTCAGTTCCAAAGGATCTGTAGTGAAATGTACACTACCAATTGTTTAAAAATACTATAGAAACCAAGATCAAGTTTTTGATCTCTTTCCCACGAGACTATAAGGGCTAAAGCTAAACCATCAAAAAATTCCGGAGAATAAAGACTATGATGATTTACAAGTACGGTTTTTCAATCAACTTCCAAACAAGATTCTCATGAAGTTGAATGGGTATCAACCTTGCAAAGAGAGACAAAAATGTATAAAATGGGTTGACCTAGCGACATTGGATAGAGCGCACCGAGAATCTTCTGATTCAGTATATGTTGTTCTCTGTCCGCCAGCGATGAAGATATTTCATCGCAACAAGTCGCGCCTAGACCTGGACGACATCCCTCCATTGAGATCTGGTGCTTTCTATTCGCCCGGCGAGCCACTCATGGTCTGAGCAGCGACCGTGGCCAATGTTGCCTTTCACGGGCCAGACAGTGACAGGGGCGGTGATGGCTGCGGCGCCATGGCCACTGGGGGCAGAGATGAAGAAGGCAAAGCGTTAATGCAAAAAGGTGATTTGTTTATTTAGGAGATGTTTGGTTGATGGATTAGAATTATTTTCGATTTACGTATATTTTTTTAAAAAATATATATTATAGTAAATTATGAATCATAATTTAAATCATAGTTTGAATCCTTCAATCAAACATTTTCTTATTTTTTATTTTCTCTCTGAAAAGAAATAGGTTCACTTAATTAAGAGAAAATTACAAAATTATGTTGGGATATTTACATTTTATACCCTTGTGTTTTAAATTTATTTAAAAATTATGCATTCAGTTTTTAATCTCATTAAAAATATACATTTAAATTAGATTTAGGACTTAAATTTATACCTTTTTCACCGTTAATATTTAATTTTAAGCATAATATACCTAAAACGCCCTTGAATAAACATGGAAAAAGAAAAAAACTAAAAACATTCAAAAATACCTTGAAATGAGTTTTTTTTTTTTTGTGTTTTTAATTCTTATTTTTGTAATATTGGAAAGTTTTAGTTTTATTTTTTTTCTTTTTCTTAAGGATAGTTTGGTTATTTCAAATGTTAAAATTAATTATTGAATGAGATAAAAAATAGATTTATATATTAAATTTAATTTGTCGAAATCAAAAACTAAAAATATAGATTTTAAATAAATTTAAAACATAGAATAAGAAAATGTAAATGTCCCAATTATGATTCCATGTGGCTTGTAGCTGATACGTGCAATATCAAATGGAGGCACTTGGGTCGCTGGATTCACGACTCGCGGCAAATAGCACTTCTCATCAAATTAAATAGAAAACAAAACTATACACGTAAACAGTCAGTCCCAACGAAACTCACACAATATCCAAATCAAAATCCAAGACAAACACAAATGGCCAAACTTACAAAAGTACAAAACATTAGTCCAATCTATCCATTGTCAAGTTACCAATATTGGTTCTAGTTTTCCATTATATATATATATATATATTGTTTCAAATTATGTTTTTTTTTTATGTAAACTCTCTCAACTTTACATATTTGATAAATTAGTTCTTTAACTTACTTTACAGATTTAATAAATTAGTTCTTTAACTTTTAGCGTTAACAGTTTACCTTTTAAATTTTAAAATTCATTATAATATTTGTTAAATTGAAAACGAAATTAAAATTTTAGACGGTTTTTTTTGACATAAAGGTTTAATGAGACTAAATATGTTTTTTTTTTTTTTTTCTGTCCTTAAGCACATTATGAGTGAAACAAATTCTGATATTGGGGAACCTCTATTTTTTCCCGAATAGTTAACCTCCAATTTTAAAAACTTTTCGCTCATGACGTATTTGAAAAATTTTAAACTCCTAAAAAGATAGACTCAACTAAATTAAAAATATTTTAAATAATCCTAAAAGAAAAAACATAATTTTGAATTGAAAATCAAATACTAAACATAAAAGATATTCTAATAATAATTTTGGTCGAGAAGGTGTTATTATAATTTTGACATAAATCAAGGAGTGTCAATGTAATTTTCTCATAATAGATAAAAATTTGAGAAATAATAGCAACATTAAATAGGATAAGAATAGAAATAATTTGATATTAGAAAACAGGATTACGATTTCTAAGCTATATATATAATATGATAAATGATTAATTATTGTTTTACTTTTGAAAATTTTAAAAGAGAAAAATCTGTTTTGCTCCTCCCCTATAAGTGCATAACTTACACAAACACCCCCTGATATTACGAAAAGTGCCACGCCCACCCACAGCATTAAAAAAAAGAAAAGAAAAAAACAAACAAACCATGATTATTCATCGATTTGTAGAGTCTTCTTATATTGACGTAAAGCTAGACGACATGGTTGAGCTTGACGTTGGAAGCCCTTCCGCCATGCACGTAAGCATTCGTCCCAACTCCATGCACAAAGAATATCATCATCACGGAACAACTACTCATCCTGACGTCCTAGAAGACCAAATCGTCAACATTCCAATCATCGGGCCGGCCATGGAGTTAGAATTGAGAAAGTTTGTTGACAGTGACTGCGAGAGTTTGTACGCTAGAGCCTTCGACGTCTTTGCTTCGTTGCAGCTGGAATTTATAGACATGATGAGGGTTTCTTTCAAGATGTACAGTGGAATAATCAAAAGTATTTTGGATACTAAGTACGACGATCGAAGGAATATCAAGTACGTATTGAGCGTGGAGATTACAGTTTGCAGTCGAATATTGTACTGTGATGAGTACGCCACATCTGGTATGATTCCCGCAACCGAGTCATCCATTGACAATTTGGAGATGGAAACCCTACTCGGTCATCCTGATCCTGAGGAGATCAATTTTCCTGAATGTAGTATTTGTTTGGAAAATATTGGCTATGTCATGGATTGTATGCCTTGCCATCATGTATTTCATCGTTTTTGCATTCGGAAGTGGCTAAACACTAGCCATTATTGCCCGCTCTGCCGCTTTGAGATGCCAATTAGTTGCTGATTTATCATGCTTTGGCTCATAAAACCAAGGAATGTTTAGCATTAGTTTTTCAATTATGATGTCAATGACTAGCCATTATTGTGTACTTAGCCGCTTTGAGATGCCGATTAGCGTTTATTCATTAAACTATTAATGTTGAGTTTTTGAGGTAATTAATCTCTAAATTATATTGTCTACTATTGTTTTCTGGTGGTATTGATAACATTAGTTATAATTAAATTAGTTTAACATACATGCTATGTAAATAAATTGTTGATTTTTGGAATTATGATGAGGAATTAAATTAAGATTTTTTAGCTAGGTTTTTTTATATAGTTATTTTTTAAGAAAAAAAATTATCACTAGTATTTGATTTAGTTGAGTCTAAAATAAATATCGAGTTTTCGTTCTCCCTCTGTTTGTATGTCCTCGTGATTCTTCTTATTCTTCGTTTTGGTTCTATTTCTCTCCTTGATTATATTCTTTTCTTTGAATCCTCCCTCAATCCTGATTTCCATCTCCTTTGTGATTATAATTATTATTTTTCTATATCTTGTAACTATTTCTCTCATTGATTCTATTTTTTCTTTAGTTTTTCCATTTATTTATCTCTTTAGTGATTCTTTTTTTTATATTTCAGTTCTATGTCTCTCTTTAATTTTATTATTCTCTTTGAATTCTCCATTTATTCTCAATTCTATCTCGGTCCTATAATAATTGATATCAGAGCTCTAGTTGATTTTTTAAAACTACTTTGTTCAAAGAATTTTTGAGCGTTTTTTTTTTTTCCAGCACAACAACATTAAAAACGAAAAAAAAAAAAAAAAACTATCCTCCCAAAATAGAATATCGTCCCAAAATTCCTTCTGCTATGAATTCCAACTTTTAGAAGTTCTTTTGTTGACACAACTATGAAGCGAATATCATGAATCCCAAGTAGTGCTGAAACTTTAGACAGGTCGCACGTGACCGTCCGAAAAATAGAATTTGTGCCCGTTGCCCGAGCCTGCCCGCCCGTCTAAAAAATTCGGGTTGCCAGCCCGAACCCAAATACTTCCTTAACGGGCTTGGGGCAAGTCTTTGCTGCCTGAGCCTGCCCGAAAGAGTCTGAATTTTTTATATATTTTTTTATATTTTGTTTTAATTTTTATAATATTGTATATATATTATATATAATATTATTTATTAATTGTATTTGTATATAAATAATTATTAAGTTATTTATTGTAAAAATTATATAAAAACTATAATTAAGATTAAAATCAACACACACTATTAACACAATTCAAAAAATTAATTTTGTTTATTAATTTTTAAATTTATAATTCATGATTGCCTCGTTAAAAACCTTATCAAGAAAAACTCAATTGGGATAAAAACTTGGTAAGGAAAAAAGAGTGCAATCATTTTGTGATGAATTACAAATTTTACAAAATTACAAAGTCTAAATATAAAATATTACAATTATAATGTCCAAAATAAATAAATATTTACAAATTATAATTTAATTTGAAGCTGAATGATCGTCTTCAAAATTAAATGTTAATCTATTAAATTCATCTATCCATTCTTGGCTTGCCGGCGAAATTGTATCTTGTAAACGTTGATCGAGACGATCCCAATCCTTAATGCACACCAAAGCTTCAACAATATCCCTTTACAATGTGTTTCGGTGTTCCTCAAGTATTTGTCCGGTTGTACTAAAGGCTTGTTCGGATGAAACAGTGGAGACTGAGATCAAAAAAATATTCATTGCCTATCAAGTTAGGACGACCAAGTTAATGCTCATACCCTCCACCATTGAACTAAATCAAACACTTCGGCACTATCGTCAACTACTAAGCTCTCGCTGAGGTACGCCATAAGCTCGTTGAAATCGCCGCCGCCGCCACAAGCTCTTGATGAAGATCTACGCCCAACTTTTGTTTGAGTCTTCTTCTTTTTCTTCAACCAGAAAACATTCATGAATGAATGCGGGTTTTCATCTTTTTGTTGCGGTTCCTGTACTCCACAAGTGGTGTTTCTAAACCTATTCTCATAAACACTATAGAGAGAAAATATTTTTTTCCTTTATTTTAGGAAATTGGTTAGAACAATCGATTTCTGAAAATTCACCTAAGTTTTCTAAACCTTCTAATTTTAATCTAGGATCAAAAATAGTACCGAAACCATACAATATTGGTAATTTAGACCAATATTTTTTAAATTTATTTTCCATAGAAGCGATAGGAATTCTTAAAATTGGGTCCGTCCTAAATTCACTAAATAAAATACTAATTCTTAAAAGTTCACCTAAAGCTAAAGGTGATGTTGGGTAATATGTTCCACTAAGTTTTAAAGTAACTTCATGAAACCTACCCAAAAATTTATACAAAGTTTTGTTAATTTACCAATTATATGGGTCTATATGTGATACTAGTGCTGGAACTTTGGACGGGCCGCCCGCGATTGCCCGAAAAATTTGATTTTTTACCCGAGCCTGAACTCCCCCGGCCCGATTTTTTTGGGTCGCCCATTCGAGCCCGAAAAGGCCCATGGATGAGCCATGGGCCTATGTTTGGCTACCCGAGTCCGGTTGGGCAGCCCGAGTGGTCCGAAAAAAATATATAGTTTATTATATTTTGCAAGCATGTAGTAATAGGGAAAGCAATGTGATTAAATAATTAAAGAGCAACGAACTAGCTAAAGTGCTGCACTTCAAAAATTTCTTGACGAATGGGCACAATAAAATGTTTTATTGTTCCTCTATTCCTGTCTGCTGTTTCTTTGAAAATAAACATATTTATTTTTGCTTAAAAACTCGAAGGATGGTTTCAACAAGTACACGTAACATGACAAGCAGAATTCATGAGCAAAAGAAAAAAATCCTAAATATACTATTAATATGCACAGATAATAGTGTCTTCAGGTTATAGATTATTATTAGTCCACAACACTTTCACTTACAAAGAAACTGCTAAAGATTGATTACAAAAAGTTCCACGAGATACAAAAATTCCTGCTTTGAATAATATGCAATGCAAGTCTTCTTCAGCTCACCTCTTAAATCACAAGACATCCTGATCCAAACAAAGCACCCTAACTCTGACCTCCAATAAATTATTTATTTTACCCTTTTTTCACTAAATGCAAATTATTAATAATATTAACAACAACAACATACGGAATTTTTCACTTTAAATAATATACAAAACAAGTCTTCTTCAATTCACCTCTTAAATCTCAAGACATCATGATCAAAACTTTTGACCGCTAACAATAACAATCGCAAGACCTTGTCATTAATCTGTATATGTAATATTTAACTGACCAATTTTCAGTCAGTGAAGAGAAACCAAAACATATAACTAACAGTTGTATTTCAATATCATGTTTTGTCTATGCTATAGTACTTTACCAAAAAAAAAGGACAACCTACGCTTAGAGATGGATAGAAATAAACATGATGACTGTGGTTGAGAATCTTCAAATAGACTGTGACTTACTCATCATATTCAACTTGTCATATTGTGATAGTTTTAGGATATTGTGATAATTTTTAGAAAAATTGTGAGAGAGATTTGAGAGATTGAGCGAATTTGAGAGAGATTGAGAGAAATTAAGAGGGATTGAGAGAGTTTTGGTGAGGAAAATGTGTGGGGAATGAGGGATATCTATAGGAAAATGTTTAGGTTAAAAATTTGATTTTTCCCCCCAAATTCGGATCCAACGGTCACTTTTTGTCTCGGCGGGTCGGGTTTGGGCTGGTTTGGCTGAAATTCGGGCAACGGTCAATTCGAGCAATTTTCGGGCTTCGGGTTCGGGCAATTTTCGGGCCAGAGTGAAAAAATTCAAAAAATATTCCAGCGGACAATGGTTGACGAATTTCCATCGGCAGCGGGCTTCGACAACTCTGTCCATTTTCAGGCAGCCCGAAGAGCCCAAATTTTTACTTGGATGGGTAGCCTTATGGGCCTGCCCCCCGAGCCTGAAAAATTCAGGCCTCGGGCAGGCCAGCCGGTCCAAAGTTCCAGGACTATGTCATACTCATAATTTTGCACTGATATAGTTTATTATAGCATTCTTATAAGGGAGGCATTATTGAAGCATTATATAAGTTGAGTTTCATCTTATAGGCATATCTTGCACTAATGCTCTAAGAGTTAGATTTAGTGCTTGTAAGAACCTAAATCAATCTTGTTCTCTTTGGTTACTACCTTGAATCCATGCATTACTATATCTAATTGCTTTTATATGAATATTCATTGATTTTAGACTGAATTTTACTACTAAATTAATTACATGGCATGCACAACGTTAGTGAAATATAGTGCCATACCCGAATAAACTTAAATTATTTTCAAAATATTCAATTGCTTTATTATTTACACTAGCATTATCTAATATTATAGTCATCACTTTATCCCTTAATCTATATTCATTAATAACATTTAAACGACGTGACATGATATGATTAGTTTGTGACGATCATAGCTAAGTAGCTGTCACTTAAACTCACTAAACATGTAAATATTTAACAATACTTGAATTAATTAAACTAAATTTGCAAAAAAAAAAAATTATTTTTATATATCATATATAACAAAGGAAAGTAGACAACTTTAATATTAATTAACAGATATTAGTTTTTAACCGTCACTTAATTAGACACCGAAATTGGACACAAAATCTGAATCCTTTTTTATAATCTAGTACCAATACCTATAGATTTCTTGCCTTTTTAAATTGTTACTTCACTATTTTATCCAATTAAACTCATAGATGTAAGTTTCTTCAACAAGAATAACAACGAATTAGATTAGGATTTTTTTTAAAAATAAAATAAAATCATAGTCATCTTTTAGGATATATTTTTATCTTTAATATTTGATTTTAGATTTACATTTACATTTATCTTTAAGATTAAGGATTTAGATTATTTAAATTATTTAGTTAAATTTATCTTATTAGTTTTAGATTTCAATAATTATCTCAGTGAATGCTTCTCGTTCTCTCTTTTATCTCCCATGTAATCGTGATTT